CAGCCCCCCCTACCCATCACCCTACCCGCAAACCCCACCACCCCACCCGCAGGCTCCCAACCTCACCCCCACAGCCCTAGCACACCAATTTGATACCATGACCCTACGGGAACCCACATGGTATTTTGACATGGGAGCCACGCACCACATCGCCTCCGATCTAGGTACTATTTCTCATGTCTCTTCTCAATTATTAAATTCTCCATTACATATTATTGTTGGCAATGGTTCTAAGGTAAGCACTACGGCGGTGGGTACCCACACCCTCCCCGCCAACCCTCCCCTCTCCCTTAATAACGTCCTTATCTCCCCGCATATCATCCATAACCTTATTTCTGATCGCCAGTTTACGCGTGATAATAACTGCTCCATTGAATTTGATGCACATGGCTTTTCTGTGAAGGATCTTCGGACGGGAACCGTGATGCATCGGTCCAATAACTCCGGCCCACTCTACCCCTTGCTCCCTGCGCCCCCAGCTCAGGTCCACAGTGCGTCCGTTGACATCCACACATGGCATCGGCGTCTTGGACACCCCAGCCCGGCAGTTCTTCGTGGTGTCTCGAGTGTCTCCAGTCTTTTTAAATTCTTTCCTAGCAATAATTTATGTCATGCTTGTCAATTGGGCATGTTCGTCTCCCATTTTCTCCTTCATGTCGTATTTCCTCTTTCCCTTTTGAATTATTATATACTGATTTATGGCAATCCCCTGTCCCCAGTATTACTGGTTTCAAACACTACATGTTATTACTAGATTACTTTTCACATTATCTTTGGGTGTTTCCTTTAAAACAAAAATCTGATGTTTTTACTCACCTCACTACTTTTATTAACTATGTCAAAAATCATTTTAACACAACCATTAAAAATGTTCAATGTGACAATGACACTGAATATCGTAACTCCCCTCTCTGTTCTGTTTTTAACTCCTTAGGCATCCTTCTTCGTTTCTCGTGCCCACACACAAGCCAACAAAATGGCCGTGCCGAGTGGACCATCCGCACCATAAACAACATCATTCGAACACTTCTTTTCCAAGCTCACCTTCCCCCAGAATTTTGGGTTGAGGCACTCCATATGACCGCTCACCTATTCAATCTCCTCCCGACCACCACCCTCAATAACCAAATTCCCCACACCACTCTCTTCCGCACCTCACCCGCCTACACCCACCTCCGAGTCTTCGGCTGTTTATGCTATCCAAATACCTCCGCCACCGCCCCACATAAACTTGCCCCACGCTCGGCACGATGCATTTTTCTTGGCTACCCCTCCCATCAACGCGGTTACCGCTGCTTAGATCTCAACACTAACAAAATAATCGTCTCGCGTCATGTCACTTTTGATGAAAATATTTTTCCTTACGAACATCACCCATCCGCCG